GAACCTGGATTCGAACCCACAATCATAGGTCTCTGGCGTGCCCAAGGGAAGCAACTCTGGACAGCGAATCGCGGCGCCTTAGACGACGGGGCCACCCGTGCCCCCAGAAACATATAGAGAAGTATGCAGGTTAAGAAGATATGTTTCCAATGTGTACCACTTAATGACAAAACTAACAATCAGTCAAGTGTTACCACTGTGTATTTATTCTTATCACCATATTCTCGTGATTTCCAAACTTTACCGCTAATCCTGCACAGGACATCTGGTGAACCTCGAGTCATGGATCTATGACGTCACATGTGATGCGTTCATAAGCGTCAGTTCACACAACATAACAGTATGTTCGTTTGTGCATCGACCCAAACTAATAACTCTTGAATATGAGAGTATACATTTAATCCTTATAAGATGTATATAATAGGGCTGGGATGAGTCCAAATTTACTACCCAGGTACCCTACCCACTATTACCGGACCCTACCCGGGTACCTGCTGTAGGTCTCGAGAGATACCTACAAAATATCCAATTGTGAATTTTTTTACCATACCCCTGGCAAAAAGTATTTAGATACATGTATTAAACAATCTGGTCATTCATACACTGAAGTTGACTTAAGTTATATCTTTATTCAACCATATGAAAAGTCAGAAAGAAATGCGAACATTAGTGACTTGAAGTGTAACCACAGAGTTCTAGATAATTTTTGTATTTTAAACATATATCACGTGATTAACCATGGGTCCGGATAGTCCTGTGGGTACCCGGGTCTTATTCAGTACCCACCCGACACGGGTACCCGAGTTACCCATCCCAGCCCCAGTATATAAGCATGTTTAACCCACAAACATAGGCTACTGTGATGCCTGAAGGAGATAGCTACGCAGCGAATTGCAGTCTAACTAACATCTTGTCTCTGAAATGAACATTGTTAACAATGAGAAACAGTTGTTGAATTTAAGTTAAAAAATATAATAAAAAGGAGCCCATAGACTCTCATTTCAGATTTTCTGATACTGCAGTACTTGCATGGGCTGAACTGGATATATTTGTTTCAGGGTCTGTATGACAGACTAAGCCATGTTGCAAGTTAGACAACTGGGACAACCCATGCTTCTTGCCCTGGATTACAGAGGACCCATTCTGCTCTAAGAGTGAGTGAGTGAGTTGGGTTTAACGCCGCTTTTAACAGTATTCCAGTTATATCACGGCGTGTCAGCTTAATGTGGGAGGAAAGCACGAAGTGATGCAGGTCTCAGACGTTTACCACTTCGGTGAAACCCAGAAACCTAGAAACATAATCGGGGCGAACCTGGATTCGAACCCATAATCGGGGCGAACCTGGATTCGAACCCACAATCATAGGTTTCTGGTGTGCCCAAGGGACGCAACTCTGCACAGAGAATCGCAGTGCCTTAGACGACCCGTCGCCCGTGGTACCCAAGACAATAAGAACAGGAATACAGAGCAGGATTACAACATGCATACACCACTGTTCTCATAATTTGTGATTTTAATATTTATCAAGGCAAAAATGATAAACAAACCTCAAGAAAGTCACATTTAATGTAACATCTGTGTATGGAGCAAATATAAGTTACAGAGGTGCTTAGCACAAACTTTTGCAAAACAAAACACAAAATACAAATCAATTAACATGATAACACTCATAAACAAAAACAATAGCACAATGCCGGATCTAGCTTTTAACAATTCTTCAGACGGTATTATATATACACCCAGAATAAGGACTACACATATATATTTGTGCTATATATGTATGTTAGCAGAATGAATCAATTCACCAAAATGGAACAGTTGCACGTTTCAGATTCTGTTATGTCCATTGTTTTAATGTTAGTAGATTCTGTATTCCATTTTGGAAAAGAAGTCTGCCTACAAATGATAAACCACTGGATTTTTAATAATTTAAAGCAAAACTGTGATAACACATTCATTATGATTTACTTTTTTTCATGAACATCAACTTGTTTCTCAGATTTATCATGTACAAAATTACATTGAATGTCTGGCAGATGGTCCTTCATGACAACCTCCTTCTCTCAAAAGCATCTTCCCGATGACTATAAAAGTCCAGTTTCCACCCTTGCCGAACTAGGCTGGTATTATGGAGTTACATTTTGGCTGGACTAACGAGTCTATGCATAGTCCAATCAAAATCTGGCAACGAAATCGAAATCCAGTTCGTAAACTGTCATGCAGATTACTGTCGATTGCAGGATTTGCAAAGCATGTGCACCTCCCAACTCGTTGTCAACAGATATTTTCTAAACCTTTTCATGTTTTTAATCAAGGCATGATTTGATGCAATGTAAGACCCATTTTATCACAATATAGATCTTGATTAACGATCAGATCGTCTTGACTGGGCGTCATTATTTTGTTTGAAACAAGTGCAAGTGATGGAATCGGATTGGTCCATAGGAGAGGCTCAGAAGCGACATAACTCATAAAAGCCACTTGTGGCGCTAGGATTGAGCACGGGAATTCCAGCCTAGTTCGGCAAGGGTGGAAACTGGACTTTTAAAGTCAGTTAACTCTCTTGCCTCGGGAAGATGCTCAAAGGAGGATCCAAACCATTTTTTTCAGAGAACCATATTGTGTGAGGCCAAATTATTTGGTAATTTGCTCCATGACTATTCGTTAATTGTTTGACCAAGATCGTAAAAATCACCACAATATTGCTTTCACTGTTATTGTAAAAATGATTTACAGCTTCAGGCTTCATATTTTAGTTGGAGTATATTACAGACAAAAGTGTCGTTCATATGAGTTCATCTGGTCTATGGCAATTTCTGGCCTGACCTAGAGTGTGATACACTGTTATTTTATGCAACATTTCCACTAAGAATCAAGCTTCACATTTCACATTTCGTTGAAGCTAAGTTATCACATCTGTATAGCTCAGTGCCAGAATACACGGTACAGTGCAACATGTACTCCATGCCCACACACAGTAACACATACATACAAGTTGGCTGGTTGGTTTGTTGTTTTACGCCACATTCAGCAATATCCCAGCTATATGACGACGGTCTGTAAATAATCGAGTCTGGACCAGACGAGCCAGTGATTGACATCATGAGCATCAATCCTTGCACTTGGGATAAGATGACATGCATCAACCAAGTCAGCGAGCCTGACACCCGTTCCCATTTGTCGCCTTTTACGAGAAGCATAGTCGCCTTTTACGGCAGGCATGGGTTGCTGAAGACCTATTCTATCCCAGAATCTTCACGGATCCCAAACATACAAGTAATACAAAAACAAAGTGCTTTACTTTGAAAAAGAAATTAGGTCCACTTGGCTGTGCAGCTCTCTTGAATATTTCTGGAATATTGCATCAGATTATGATAAACAGGTAAACAAACATATGACAATATTAAGGGAAATCTTGGCACAAAAAACCCCAGCATGAATATTCCATGATGGCACATGCAGAAATTCAGAAACATAACAAACTACCATTTTCAATATGGCTGTCAAATACTGGATCAGAAATCTGTGAAAAGTGTTTAAGAGACATCAATACTGCAATCAGTAGACACTGTGATACTATGATAAGCCCATAGGTTGTCCTTAAGACAGGGTAAGAAGTAAATTAAATATGGCCAAAAACATCTGACATGTTATTGGCCATACCGGTGCTTGCATTGCAATAAGCTGATATGTCAGATTAATGGGCAAAAATGACATTTCCATGTGGGTGTCACGGTGATAACTTGTCAACTCAGATAAGGTTTCTAAATCATTGAGGATCATTCTTGCCCAAAATTTAACTTGATAGGTCTCATAAGAAAATGTTAAAGTTTATGACAAAAGAAGAAAACACGAACCATACCATCAGCTCACTTGAACTGAAACTGAGTGAATAGTTGATTGTTTGTTTGTTTGTTGTTTAACGCCGCACTCAGCAATATTCCAGCTATATGACGGCAATCTGTAAATAATCGAGTCTGGACCAGACATTCCAGTGATTAATATCATGAGCATCGATCCACGCATTTGGGATCGATGACATGTTTCAACCAAGACAGCGAGCCTGACCACCCGATCCCGTTGGTCGCCTTTTACGACAAGCATAGTATGGGTTATGGGTTGCTGAAGACCTATTCTATGACGAGACCTGTGATCGAATAGCAGGTGTTCAGGATTTAAGATGCGTGTTCAGGTCTGATGTTATCAGTGTTTGATATCATGAGCATCGATCCATGCAATTGGGATACGATGACATGCATCAACCAAGTCAGCAAGCCTGACCACCCGATCCCATTAGTCGCCTTTAACGGCAAGCATGCGTTGCTGAAGACCTATTCTATCCCGGATTTTCACGGGTCGTCAGGAATGGGAGAGTGAGTGAGGGAATAACTGTTTTCAATGCAGAAGTATGTTGGATTCGATGGAATGAATTTGGAACCGAATGCGCATTATGAGGTATTTCATACGCTAAATCTTCATGTAACAGGTATCTTGGCTCTACATTGAAAACACAATATTACTATATCCATTCTACCATAACAAAATAAAATGCGAACATGTTTTGGTATGACAGGGCCGGGAACTGAACCCACAACCTTCCAATCTCCGCATGACATTCCAGGGACTCTTGAGAACAATCAGGTACCATCATGAAAAAGTTAATCTCTGAATGGTTAATCGAAACGGAGTATTTTCCAAAGTCATGGTTGAATATCAATTCATCATTTACAAAAAAAGAGTAATCACCTTACTCAAATGCCACAGACATTCACCCTATCCATATACCAACTTGAAAAAATACTGAAAAACATATAGATGTTGGGGTTGTCAAAAACTTCATAGACTCCATCCCAACAATTCAATCTGAAAACAGTGAGCCTGACCACCCGATCCCCTTTGTTGTAAGAGATGACAAAGCTTGCCCAAAGAGGCGACTAACGGGATCGGGTGATCAGGCTCGCTGACTTTGGTTGATGCCTGTCATCGCATCCCAATTGCGTGGATCGATGCTCATGATGTCAATCACTGGATTTTCTGGTCCAGACTTGATTATTTACAGACCGCCGTCATATAGCTGGAATATTGCTGAGTGTGGCGTTAAACAACAAACAAACAAACAATATGAAAAAATGGTACACTTTTTGGTCCTTCCATTGCATTTGTGATGAAAGCTACTGATCCAGCTGACAATATGTTGGTTGTTAATGTTATTTTCCTTGTAAGGCCAGGGGACCAAAAGACTCAGTGAGGGGGAGGTCTTTGACAGTCTGACATAGCTCATAAAAGCAGTCACTGGTTCATCCAATCCAGGCTATATTACTTACAGGCAAAGTTGGCATATTGCTCACTGCATCATTAAACAACATTCGCTCAGATTTCCTTCCAATACTAATCATGATATCAGTCTATTGTCCATCTCAAAACCATTACAAAAAAAGAGGTGCCTGTCTTGTCATGCTGACCTCAACCAATCCCCGGAGCTGTGAAGGTATTCTGGGTGTACTGCTGAAAGGGAATGTTCATAATCGTTGGTGAGTGTCCAAAAACGGGGAACCTAGGAGGAAACTGGGGACCAGAGTCATTCAACTTTGACCTTTCATCATCATCATCATCAACTCCATGGCTGCTCATAACACCACTTCTGCTTCTAGCACCACGGGTGCCATTTGAACTCACATCCAGGGATCTAAGACTACCATCAGCCCTGATGTCCTCAGATCTATGACGACCATCTACCCTGATATCCACTGACCCCCGACAACCATCAGCCCTGATATCCACAGATCTATGACCACCCAAAAGTTTGCTATACATTGATCCACGATATCCACCTGCCCTGTCTACAGCTCTTTGACAACCATCAACCCTGATGTCCACATCTCTATGACAACCATCAGCCCTGATGTCCACAGCTCTATGACAACCATCAGCCCTGATGTCCACAGCTCTGTGACAACCATCAGCCCTGATGTCCACATCTCTATGACAGCCATCAGCCCTGATGTCCACATCTCTGTGACAACCATCAGCCCTGATGTCCACATCTCTGTGACAACCATCAGCCCTGATGTCAACAGTTCTGTGACAACCATCAGCCCTGATGTCCACAGATCTATGACACCCATCAGCCCTGATGTCCACAGATCTAAGACACCCATCAGTCCTTATGTCCACAGATCTATGACAACCATCAGCCCTGATGTCCACAGATCTATGACACCCATTAGCCCTGATGTCCACAGATCTATGACACCCATCAGCCCTGATGTCCACAGATCTATGACACCCATCAGCCCTGATGTCCACAGATCTAAGACCACCCAAATGTTTGCTATCCACTGACTTGCAACTAGTGGATCCCAAATCTAAAGGTCCATGACTATGCCCAATTTTGCTATTCATAAAAACATCACTACAAATAGAACCCATGGATAAACGTCCGACACCAGGCTCAATTTCTTTGCCCATTAATCCATGGCTACCATGCCTTGGCTCCGTGCCTTCTCCAATATTTCCCTTATTGTTCCCAATACTGCTAGACCTTCCTTCCTTACAGCTCGCTGAGCTGAGAAGTGTTGCATCCTTACTTCCACTACAACCACCTCTATCTGCAGATCTCTGCATCTCAAATTTGTCACCGACCTCACCACTCATTAACTTAGAATGCTTCTTCTTAGCATCCTTTTTCTTAACATCCACATCTTTCATCCTGTCAATCATCTTCATCACTGTATTAGGATCTGCAGTGGATGAATCTTGTTCAGATAATGCTCTCACTGTGAACATCTTATTATAATGAGCTTCAAGATGACGAGCCAGCGTGCAAGAGACATTGAACCTTTTCCCACACAACTGACAAGAATATGGCTTCTCTCCAGTGTGTATGCGCTTATGATTGGCTAGCTGGTTGTACTGCACAAAGGACTTATTGCAAACGTCACAAACATAGGGTTTCTCTCCTGTGTGAATACGTCGATGTCGAACAAGAGAAGACCGAAGGGAAAATCTTTTCCCACACACGTCACACATATATGGCTTCTCGCCTGTGTGAGTTCGCTCATGCGTCACACGTTGACTCAACTCTGTGAACGATTTTTCGCAGAATCGACACTGGTAGGGTTTGATGCCTGCATGTATTCGTTTATGGTTGTTGAAAGAGTTCGGTGCGTTAAATTTTTTACCACAAATGTCACACTGATAGGGTTTTTCTCCAGTATGTGTGCGAACATGTTTCACAAGGGAGCACTTCGTTGCAACAATTTTGCCACAGACTTCACATTTAAAGATTTGAGGCTCACTAATTTTACCACTTTGCTTTTTGCGTCCATTTCTTACGACACTTTCCAACATATCGTCGCCTTCTTCCTCCTTAAAGTCAAGGCGCAACTTAACACCAGCTAGTTCTTCCTTCAACACACCTTCGTCAGGTGTAAGCTTAATTGGAGTTCTTGATTTTCGTTTTGTTTTAGCTTTCCCTCTTTTCACGCCTTTTGGGGGAGTCTTTTTAGCACCTTTTGATTTTGATTTTTTCCTCCCTTCATTGTGTTTATAGTCTGAATCATCGTCTTCCTTTTCTTCCTCTGACACAGAGCCGTTCCATAAATTCCATTCAAAATCTTCATCACTTTCATCATGAAAAGCCTCAATTTTCTTTTTCTTTCGAGGTTTTGATTTTGTTGATAGTTTGATTTTCACAACATTTTTCATCACCATCTTTCCCTCCTGTATTGAATTTGTTTCAACCAGCTCAACATCTGAATCAAATTCTTTCTTGATTTTCACTTCTGGATCACACATTTCCACATCCCGATTCAGGAAAGTCTGACTTTGAACATCAGTTTTTTCTACAAAACTGGAACTTTGGTCGGACTTTGACTCATGGGATGGTTTCTCCATTTTATTTTTCAATTTGGAGTACATTTTTTTAAGCTTTGCATATTTCTTTTGTAATTCAAAACGTTCAGGTTGAGAAAAACTGCTGCTTTTGAGAGAATCCTCAAAGGAGTCATCTACATCAGACAACTCTGACATTCCAGACAGATCCTCATCCACAATGTCGGACACATCAGAAGGCAATGGACTCCCTCCATTGTCTGTATCAATACTGCTGGGTGTTAAAGGTGTTATTCTGAAACAACAGTCTGGGTGGGGATCAGAACTTTCTGTTTTGATGTGAGCTTTATCCATCTTTATTTGATCTGAAAGTAAATATAATCACAGTTATCTACAGCACGAGGATTGGGTGGTCACAATACACATGACGTTTAGTGATGTAACTTGATTGTGATGTCACAATGGTCTGCTTGGTTTGGTTTGGTTTGGTTTGGTATTTGTTTTACGCTGCACTCAGCAATATTCCAGCTATATGACGGCGGTCTGTAAATAATCGAGTCTGGACCAGACAATCCAGTGATTTACATCATGAACATCGTTCCACGCAATAGGGATCGATGACATGCATCAAGCAAGTCAGCGAGCCTTACCACCTGATCCCGTTAGTCGCTTTTTACGACAAGCATTGTCCCCTTTTATGGCAAGCATGGGTTGCTGAAGACCTATTCTAGCCTGGATCTTCACAGGACCAATGGTCTGCAAAGCATTGTGTAGAAAATGAAATAGGAGCTACCGGTTGGTCCTCACCCAATATCTCCTGTGGAAGAGTTTGGGATGAGAAACATCCTGTAAAGTAAACATCCCACACTTTATAAAGAATAAGCATTTATGTTTTCCAGTTAACTAAATTGCATACAATTTCATCTGTGTTCTGCCAAACATAAAAACTAAATGAGCCAGACAAATCTTTTTTATGTTTATTTCTCCCCAACCAAGGTGATCGTTCAGCAGAAAATCTGTAAACCATAAAACGAAAGTATACCAAATTCTCAGGTGAGCTAAAAAAAATGTATGGCATACACGTCATAGGATTTCAACTGATCCAACTGCAGGCAAATTACCAATAACAACACTGAGTAATGCATCCATATAAAAAAGTGAGGCCATACGAAAAATTACCTGGTACAGGAACTTGGATACTTATGGTATTAGTAAACATATCCTTCCACAACATATTTATATTTCCTTCTTAATTTTGATCACATAACACAGAACCCAAAACGTGCCTCTTCTACCTCTTGGATGCTGCCTTGCCCTTGGATGCCAATCATGAGTTATCTGTCATCGACCCATCACTACCTTGTAATCAGCACTTGGAGACCCGTGAAGATTCCGGGGTAGAATAGGTCTTCAGCAACCCATGCTTGCCGTAAAAGGCGACTATGCTTGTCGTAAAAGGCGACTAACGGGATCGGTTGGTCAGGCTCACTGACTTGGTAGATACATGTCATTGATCCCAATTGTGTGGATCCATGATCATGATGTCAATCACTGGATTGTCTGGTCCAGACTCAATTATTTTACAGACCGCCGTCATATAGCTGGAATATTGCTGAGTGGGGCGTTAAACAACAAACAAAAACAAATCAGCACTTGGCTTGATATTGGAATGGACAAGTGGGCCAAAGTCTTGATGTGTCAGAATCCGACTAAAATCATGAACATACAAATTCATGGAAACTTATTTCTATTCCTGACACAAAACATTGCAACCTGTATCCCACAGATGGTGGCAGGGTCTGCAGTTTGCAATATTGTTAACCAACACCGGAGTATGTCTGGATTAGACTGTGCTCTATGAGTACCCCTTCACTAAACTCTGTCCCGTCAGATCCTTACTCTTATATGCAAAGCTATGCTTCAAGGTCGTGTTCCTGTGCAGCTTCCGTTGCATGGCTTTAGGAGGATGAGGACTCCGTGTTATAGCATAACAACCAGGACCCAGAACCCAACAATCCCCCAGAATATTTACTGTGACACTATGTTAAGGAAAATTTGGCAAAACAGTGGCTTGTAAAACCTAGTGGAGGATCAGAACTTCCAAGTTGTTGTTAGTAACAGCAAAATCCAAGCCATCCCTCAGAATATTTACTCTGACATTGAATGACACATGGAAAACATCTGGTCAGCACTCTGGTGACTTGTCCATGACACACAAGAAGACCTGACACATCCCTTTGTGTCAACCCCACCCCCACCCCCAAGACTTCATATATTCTTCAGAGAATATTTAATCATGAATAATATTCTTGCAGAATACAGCATCAATGTTTGCTATGCAAATACAGAATAGTCAACTGCTACTTTAAGAGAGTGGCCCAAACAGATGTACCCCCTCTATGTCTTCCTCAGAGAGATCCCTCATTCAGTACTAGGCAAAGGTAGTGCCCGTTCACCAAAAAGCATCCCTTGATGACATCACCCACTGAACAATTGGTTTGTAGCAACATGGTAAATACCAGACCCCTGATTTCATGGGGATGGTGCGTTTCAGGTGCATCCAAACCTGTATGTTTATATAATATTGTTCATGAAATTGTCACTCAAAGCCAAAATGCCATGGTGACAACTATACTTTTAGCCATCAGTCCATCATTCTGAAAAACATGTAGATGTTAGGGTAGATGCAATGTAAGACCCGTTTTATCTTGATTATCAATCAGATCGTCTTGACCGGGTGCCACCATTTTTTGTGAAGCAAACGCAAGTGATACGAGAGGTGGAATCTGATTGGTCAATAGGAGAGGCTTAGAAGGGACATAACTGGTAAAAGCCACTGGTGGCTCTACGATCGAACCCAGTAATTCCAGCCTAGTTTTCGGCAAGGATGGAAACTGGACTTTTAAAGTCAGTTAACTCTCTTGCCTCGGGAAGATGGAAGGAACCTGGTTGTTAACCCTATAATAGACCGGATTCTGCAACCCATAAGCTATGGTCCCCCATCCAGGAATAGTTGATTTTCATGAACATCAGTAAAGGGTTAAACTGTTCGACAGTCCCAGTATAAGCCAACAGTCTGTGCTGCAGGCGACTGTCTGACCAATACTGTGTACATCTTCCAGATGGCTCGCTGGCCAGTGCTCATATTTCACACAGTGCTTAGCGCCTGTCTTGTCCAGCGCTCGATGCGAAGATAACAGATGCAGGCCTGTCAAAGTCTCCAACCAGCACCGAAAGTCTGGCCAGTGCTTGTGTTCCACATGGAGCTTTGACTGCTGCATGCTCTCCTTCACGTTCAGCACTCGTACTCCAGAGGGCGCCTCAACCAAAGCCAGTGCAGATGACACCAATGCGTTAGCTGTCCAAGGGGATGGAGACATCTGGACAGCATCAAACAGCAATGTAGTCAGCATGGTTTTTTTTACCCCAAGATGATGTGGTGATCGTGATCATGACTGCTAGACTAACTGCTTAGTCTTTCAAAATGTATGATATGGATAGAAACAACAGCATTTAGTTTGAAAAGGAACACCAAGTGAGATGAGAGATTCATGAACCTGTGGAAAATCTAGACATCATTTTTGGCTATAGCATTACAGTAAGAGGTGGCTGGGAGGGAACATATTATGGTTTAGGGACTGAGAGACAGACTTCATATCTGCCTCTGTCTCACCTGTTAAGACTTCCTCTTCCTATATGGTGAAGATACACCTCAACCTGCTCTTGGGATAAAGTATGAATTCTCAAATACAATTCTCAGTCCAAACAGTCGAAATGTGGATCACTGGGACATGAAGTCAGTGCCTGCACACACGTCATCGTTGATACTCAGGCCATCCTCACAAATGGTCAACGACATTTCTGCCATGCTGTAACATACAAATCAAGGACAGATAACTCCCAATTGGCAGCCAAGGGCAAGATGGCAAGATGGCACCCTGGAGGCATCTTCCCGAGGCAAGAGAGTCAACTGACTTTAAAAGTCCAGTTTCCACCCTTGCCGAACTAGGCTGGAATTCCTGGGCTCGATCGTAGCGCCACCAGTGGCTATTACGAGTTATGTCCTTTCTATGCCTCTCCTATTGACCAATCAGATTCAACCTCTCGTATCACTTGCATTTGCTTCAAACAAATCGGTTGCGCCCAGTCAAGACGATCGGATCGATAATCAAGATCTATATTGTGATAAAACGAGTCTTACATCGCGAAGTGCATCAAATCACGTGAGCACCTTGATTAAAAACATGAAAAGATTGGGAAAACATCTGTTGACCACAAGTTAGCGTTGCACATGCTTTGCAAATCCTGCAGTCGACCGAAATCTGCATGACACTTTACGAACTGGATTTCCATTTCGGTGCGCGATTTTGATTGGACTATGCATAGACTCGTTAGTTCAGCCAAAATGTAACTCCATAATACCAGCCTAGTTCGGCAAGGGTGGAAACTGGACTTTTATAGTCAGTTAACTCCCTTGCCTCGGGAAGATGCCCTGGAGGTAGAAGAGGCACATATTGGGTTATGTGTTATATGAATGAGGTGAAAAAGGCAAAATCAATGCATTTTTGTGAGGATAAGAAATAATTGTTGTTTGTTTGTGTTTTATTGATCATGTTGTTATGGGAGACCAGCCCTAAATTTTACGAAAGTTCTTTTGTTTGTATTTGTTGTTTTTCCTTAAGGCCACACTCGGCAATACTCAAGGCATATGATGGCAGGCTGTAAATAATCATGCCTGGTTCAGACAAACCAGTGATTGATATTAAGAACAACTATTCAACAGGGTCACCTTGCCTGACCACATGATTCATTCAGTAGCCTTTTCCACAGTTTATTTGACACTGATACTAACCAAACATACTGATTTGTCCTCAACAAATTCAAAGTCTTTTCAAGGCTTTTTAAAGACTTTTCCAAGGCAAGTATCATTTATTCGTTAGAACACCAAACAAACATGCCGGTATGCAAAATCAGTTACGAAGTCTAAATTACTTGTTAATGCAGCATTACTGCAAATATGTGGACATTCACAAGCACGTTCGACTTTCATACGATAAATAGTAAAACAAAAATTGATGTATAGTTAGGGTGAAATTTAAAGTCTTTCCAAAGCAAATGCCAATTTAAGGTCTTTTCAAGACAAACTCTAAAATTCAAGGTTTTTTCAAGCCCTGTGGGCACCCGGGCAGATAACAAATACTGTAAATCATGAAATTAATGCCTCACCACTTTAATGCGATTGTCGACCCCTGCCTAAAATTAAAATGGTCATGGAATTAATGCCAGTAACCGTCCCTTTGAACTTGGAGAAACTAATCAGCAAATGATAATAAACTAATCAGCAAATGATAATACTAAGGCTGTAGACTTAACATTTCATGGCATAGTGTGGGGTGATAGAAGTTACAGTGAATAATATCATTTGCTATCTTCACAAACGTATCTTCAACTGCTTTAGGTGTGGTCTAACATCCCGGTCGGGTAGCCTAGTGGTTAAAGCGTTCGCTCGTCACGCAAAAGACCCGGGTTCGATTCCCGACATGGGTACAATGTGTGAAGCCCATTTCTGGTGTCCCCCGCCGTGATATTGCTGGAATATTGCTAAAAGCGGCGTAAAACCATACTCACTCACTCACTCTAACATCCATGATGAGGGGCGGTTGGGTAACCTAGTGGGTAAAGCGTTGGCTCGTCACGCCGAAGACCCGGGTTCGATTCCCCACATGGGTACAATGTGTGAAGCCCATTTTCCAGTGTCCCCCGCCGTGATATTGCTGGAATTTTGCTAAAAGCAGCGTAAAACCATACTCACTCACTAACATCCATGAAATCAAAAGCAGAAAAATCCATTCCAAATAATCATGATGACGAGATAGGGTGGATGTCTGGATGTCGATTGTACAGGCTTAAAGTGTTGCTACACGAGTTAGCTAAACGCTTTGAATGTAAATGTGCAGTGTAATGTATTCATCACAACAGCTGTTGCTGTACTGGACATTACTCACGATCCGATATGTATCATGATACTTGCATATGCTCTTATGTGTGGTGCGTAAGGCATTTTATTCATAGAGAGGATGGCCAAATACCTGGCACACAGATGATTTACAGTTGGCAGTGTGAAGTATGGCACAACAAATGAAAACGTGTACTTTCACTATTAACTTGCACTACTGATTAGTGTTTAGATGAACAGTTATTGAAGCAAAGATATAAGGTCAGAATCGATATTTTTTACTTAGTGTGTGACTGTGATCGATACTTGTATCGTCCCACCACTGGTGGGTATGCAGCCTTTGTGTTGGTTACTGGACAATATTACCATGGACAAAGATGCTGTCATACAGGGTTGGAGTGCGGTGAAATGGGATTTAATGTCGCGTTCAAGATGATTGCACTTATATAGCGATGTGTGTGTGTGTGTGTGTGTGTTTGTTGAACCAGTCCAGACTAATACCAATTTTATAGTGCTAGACCACTGAGATACCATGCCACAGTTTAACAGGAATATCCCACTCAGACACACAGTCTACACTTTCAGCAGGGTATTCCCCATTTTTCTTCATTTTCCCGCGTTTTAATGGCCTCGCTTTGAGAATGCGAAATGTGATATCTAAAACTGGCCCCTAAGAGAGATAAGCACTCTCTTCGATGACATCTAGTTCAACCGCCCCAGGAAGGCAGAGAGTAACACACAAACATGGTGTCCTGCTATGTCTGCAGTAATATTTGTGTTAGTACATTCGTCAAAGAATAACACAAAACAATATATTTCAGTATCTTTTAAATGTTATTATCACAGATAGAATCAAACTGTTATGTAAGTGACTGATTGTCAGGAAAATCATAATGTTTATGTTACATTTGTTAATTATGCTCAAAAATACACAAGGATACTATGTATTAACAACAATATGATACAACTTTTACAAACTGTCAACATCACAGATATTGTTTTCATGCATTTACAAAGATGTTATTATGTTACAGTTCCATTAATTTCAACAGGCATGAATTCTGTGATTAAAGGGGAAATATAGGTTATTAACTGAGGATCATTATCATGTTGATGAGTTTGCCATATCATGATAAAAAATCATGATAGTGTTGAGCCCCATATTTAATTTAAGTCAGAACATTCCATTGACATGTGTATCTGTTAAAAGAATACATGTAATATATTTAGTTATGTCAACAAGATAGTCCAACCATGCACGAACCTCCACCAGGGCAAAATTTCCATCACTGTTATCAAAATTCCTCTCCACTATCGCTGGACAATAGTTGGTACTCTTCATTAGGAATATTTAAGTAGTCTCCATCAAAATATTTGTTAAAATCATTCCATTCATAGTCTAATGTCGTGTCAGTACCTTTTGAAACTATACTTTCTGTATCTGCACATGTATAGATATTATGCCACATTTGGAAGACGAGGAGTACAATGCAAACTGTATATACAGATGATTATTTCATATCTGTATGTTTAAAAATATATCACTTTCTTAATCCAATCAAGAAACAATAAAAAGAAGTATCTCCCTGGCATTACCCTGCAATAAAAGTCTAAAAATGTATGGCAATTTGGAACAGACGACAGTTTTCCATTTCCAACCAATCCGGCGTCTTGGTTTGGTCACGTGACCCAAACACGTCATTATGGGGGCAGAATCAACTAGTGGCTTCTGAATGTTTTTCTTCATTTGCACAGGATACAAGTGCCAATACAATTTAATAAATTGTTTACTTAATTATCCCACAAGACTGTAGTAATGACAGTTTGTTTTTAGCACTTGTGAGATAGAAAGAACCTGGACAAGAAGTATGTGACCCTCCAGTCACATCGTTTACCCCTAATGAAGAACTGTCCATTTAAATAGATGATATCATTATATTTACACAAAACAAAGACGATATATTTGACCTCGGGTGACAGGTCTTTCACCACGATCACAGATATCAGCGATAAAGTGTAAACTGTTGACACAAAGTGAATTCCAGAACCAGCTATTTCTGAATGAAATGTTTCAGAAAGGGTGATGCTCTTTAACCAACCAGATTGCTACACTATACTAAAGCTCCACCTTTTTCTGTGATTGACTCTTTTCCAAATACACCAACAACCAATACAAAATGTAGAATAATGCCTTATATGGCTTGAGATAAAAAGATCCTGATATTGAAGTTGAACTACAGGGAAAAACTGTACAACCGGAAGTGTGAACATATTACTTTTGGACCGTTTACTGGAGCCAGGCTGTATCATTATATCATGATAATTAATGGTAATTGGAGGTGGACCTATGATGAATTCATAAGTGAAAAAGTAAGGGCTTCTTTTATTTTAACTTCTAAGTAAATAAGATATTTCTAATGACACCACTTTCTTGTTGATCAGTGGTGTTTCAACCTGGTATCAAATTACATTCTCCATAGGCGCTGTAGAACCAGAACGAGGCGGGATCCCCCTGCTATAAGCAGGCTTTACTACTGAAAGTGTAAGCTGACAGTATACTGACTCAGAGTCGACCAGTCCTTGTTTCAGCCCCTTAATGCCAAGCACAAGGCAGGGTAACAACAAGTACCATATTTTAACGTCTTTTGGTATGGCACGGCTTGGCATCGAAACCCCGGACCTTACGCCCTTTGGGTGGACGCTCTACCATTAGACCACATGGGCGGTCTCTTTGAAACATGAATACTACTGACAGATGACATGTGTAACTATAAGGTTTCTATATTTCAGCATCAAAGAACAGAACTGTTGCATTCCAAGTGTACTTCCCACCCAACAAATCACCTGCTTACACTCCCCTGGCATTAAGCCATACAGATATGTGAACTACATTGGAGAATCGGTTCTTATTTCATAACCAAACCTAGAGTCCTGCTTTACACAAGGGAATACTATACTAATTGACATCAACATTACAGGCAACGAACTCATCCTTATACGATAGACATCGGTTACACTTGCTCTGACCTAGTAGATCTATGGTCAAAGGGTGACCACTCTACAGTGTTCGCGTTAACGCAGAAACCTGCGTTTTTCAAGCATTTAAATCATATAAACACGCAAAAAATATTTTGCATGCGTGTTTTGCACGCAGATTGTGATATACTTAATTTTGTATTAATACCATAAAATATAAAACTATTCAAAGCTGATAGCCTGTTAGGATGTTCAGACGAAAATATATCAAAACCTGGAAATTCCCATTGCTAAAAATACAGTGTGGCCAGATGGCGCTTTGAATCGCATCCATTATATTTCCATTTATAGTCTTTGGGCAACGGAATAACTAGGGTTGGGAATTGGACCAAAAAGTGTATTGCGATATATTGCAATATTTCAAAAACATATTGCAATATTATTGCAATATATTGGGAAATAATTTCTTCCAAGAGAAAAGCTTTTTTTCATATCCCTTTGACAAATATTAATATGAAAGCTGCAATGTTAACAATTTGGTCAAAATTATGAACCAATTTTAATAAATTGTACTATTATTTTTATCTACAATCAAATAAAGAGTATGAAGCATTTGTTTTGTCTTTGTTTTAATTTAATAAGGTAAGACTATACATCATGGCATATACATGTCAGTCACTGTTTGAATGAGGGAAAAACCGATTCGCCAAAAACGTAATAATTAGTATTGCAATATACCGGTATACCGATAAAACCGCACATCCCTAGGAATAACTAATCTCAGACACAGGACGTCATTCGTTACTATCGATGGAATTCCTCAGAAGTCGTTCCTTTCATCCAATCAGAGCCCAGGTTACCAGTAATAGTCTGTAATACGAACGATCATAGTGAGTGAGCGAGTTTGGTTTAAAGCCGCTTTTAACAGTATTCCAGTTATATCGCGGCGTGGCAGCTAAATGTGTGAGGAAAGCCCGAAGTGATGCAGGTCTCAGACGTTTACCACTTCGGTGAAACCCACGAGCACGGGTATGGTGCTGACAAACCTAGAAACATAATCGGGGCGAACCGGGATTCGAACCCACAATCATAGGTTTCTGGCGTGCCCAAGGGACGCAACTCTGCACAGTGAATCGCGGCGCCTTAGACGACTGGGCCACCCGTGCCCCCCACGAACGATCATAAACATAGCGACGGAAGAAAACTTCAACACATGGACATGTGCTAACAAGTCATATTTTTTTTATTAATGATTGAACGTTCATTATATCAAAACTGGACTGTAAGTTAAAGCTTGGTCATAATTATTAGCTGTACTAGTACTGATTTTATTGAAACCAGAGTTTGCCACTAACATGGCTATATCCCCCGCCCCTGTTGCCGAATTTAAGACATAATTAAATCTAAATAATTAGCCTTTATTAACCGAGGTGGAATTTGTTATGGAAATTGTAAAAAAAAGAAGAGTTTTGGAAATGTAAAAAAATAAAAAATTCTAAAATTTCTAAATAGCAAAAGGCACCAGTTCAGCATGTACCTGACCGACCTGCAAAGTTTGATGAAAAAATATTGAACGGTTTCTGAGTTATGCTCCAGAAACGAAACGTGACGGACGGTCGTACGTAAGGACGGACGGAGCCCATTTATATATCCCTCGTCAACTATGTTGGGCGGGGGATAATAAAAACTTCACACGCGAAATATTTGAATTAAAAATTTATTATTTCATTTCTGCACGCACTGTACAAAAACCTACCGCGAACATCATAACTATCATTTGTTTTCTGATTCTTTATCAACATACCAAAAATGAGAATGTAATGACACATTATGTTGATTATATTATAAGATTGTCTTGATACAGAATTATGTTTCCAAGACATACAGTACCAACACACTTAGAAAAACACTTAGTCTATGATAACATTTCTTTAAAGAAATTGTATTTTTTTTTTCAAAGAACCTTTCCTCTTCTGCTGTTTTCATATCAAGGAAACTAAACTTGGCTTAGCTTGATCTCGACTTGCCTAGGCTTTTAGCAAATAATAAATATATAAACAGTAAACTACGGTTATTAACGAACTCAAAGGGACCACTAATTTTAGTTTGCTATATCCGTCGTTCGTTATATGTATTTCCACCATCAGACATCTTTTATCAAGTCGTGTGACATCATGTTACTCGATAAATAACAAAAGTGTGCACTGTACATGTACACAATATATCCACTTCAACCACTGTGTTACTATTGTTAATTGAGGGAGTAATTTGAGGACAAAGTGTCAGTACTTAAGAGTAAATCAATTACCTTCAAATGTTTATTGACGCTTTGAACAGCAGCGTTTGGCCACAGATGTTTTGATGGCAGATTGGTGATGGCAGGAGCTCAGCTCTGGGATTCACAGTTCGTCACACACTTAAACATTATCGTTAACAGAGTACACACGGGGGCCACAAGGTGAGTTCTCTATATCCATTATTTCGTGATGAGGGTGTTCGTGATATCAATCAACTTTATTGGATAAAATATATGGCAAATGGCCGGGACAAAAAAAATTCGTTTTTTATACCTTTTATGTCAGTTCGTTATAAGCGTGTTCGTTATAAGCGTAGTTTGCTGTTTATTGGTCGGTTAATTGGAACCACAATATTTTGTTGCTGTGAGGATTAAGCTGGTGAAAATGCAATTTTCAACAGGGTACCAAAATACCCCAGAACAAATACATGTGCAATATAACACGTCAACATTATTCGCATCAGAAATAATTATTGTTGCAAGTAATGTATATTTTTAGGTAGCCATGTGGCGAACAATAAGAAAATTTAGGTTGCCAACTATAGATTTAATTCGCATCGGCGGCCGAAATGGGCGCTACTTACAGGGCAGAGTGAGTGAGTTGGGTTTAACGCCGCTTTTAACAGTATTCCAGTTATATCACGGCCTGTCAGCTAAATGTGGGAGGAAAGCCCGAAGTGATGCAGGCCTCAGACATTTACCACTTCGGTGAAACCCATGAGCACGGGTATGGTGCTGACAGACCTAGAAACATAATCGGGGCGAACCGGGATTCAAACCCACAATCATAGGTTTCTGGCGTGCCCAAGGGACGCATCTCAGCACAGCGAATCGCGGCGCCTTAGACGACTGGGCCACCCGTGCCCCAAATTACAGGGCAGATCTAGTTCCCTGCTGTTATTGTTTTGTATACATCTTGTTTAAGATGTTTTAATACTGTCCTAGGACCACGCATGAATTTAGATCTGATCCAGACACATTAATTTCATGATTTACATTATCTGCTATCTATATGTGTTTAGAACTGTGTAAAAGGCGACTGAATGGATAATGCGGATGGGCAAGGTGACTTGGTTGATAGCATGAAAGCTTACCCTAATGAATTGATGTTCATAATATCAAGCACTGGTTTGTCTGGTCGTAGCATTAATGTTAACAGGCCACATTCATATACCTTGAATATTGATGAGGGTGACACTAAACAACAAACAAACACAAAACGGTTATGTTACAGCTGACAGGGAAAATATTATTTTTTAAAAATCGAAAATATACCCTGTTACCCTCATCCAAGCATAAACGCACTTGCAGACATTACCCCGTGGTCAGGTGACTGGACCTTGTGCTTTAAGCAGGAAATATTCAAAGAAAAACAGTTTCCGTTTCGCTCAAATACACTTGAAGGCTATGATAACGATGCAAAACCCAGCTAACAACACATGTCAATTATCAATATTCCAACCCAATCATAATTCATATTCATAGCTCAATCGATTTACGATTCTCGCTGCGCTGCTGCACTGCGAGTGCAAAGAAAACCTTCAAAACCTCCTACCTCTGCTTTAATTATTACCCCTGCTTTCAATTGGTCAGCATATTGAACAGTCTCCCGGAGCGATTTAATGCTTCACCGACCACAATTCCTTTCAGTTTCACATGACAGTAAAAGTGGTCATGTGTGGTTCTGCAAATCAAGAGCAGATAACTCTCAATGTTTATAGTTAGGTTATTACTAAAATGTAACATGGGTCACGAAACGAAAAATCCAGATAATATTCATTTTGGGACGCAAACACAATGTTATGCAGATTTGAAAAACAGTTAAGGAAACTAAAAACTTAATAACTGTGATAACATACGGAACACGTTGTTTAGCAGTCTGAAACAATGCTTGACTTTTCCTCTCCAGAAAAAAAAGATCAAGCGGAAAAGAATAACTTAAATGCATTATATGTCGGTAAGTGCTACATGATGCAATTAGAATAGTGAGTGAGTGAGTGAGTTTGGTTTAACGCCGCTTTTAACAGTATTCCAGTTATATCGCAGCGTGTCAGCTTAATGTGTGAGGAAAGCCCGAAGTGATGCAGGTCTCAGACGTTTACCACTTCGGTGAAACCCACGAGCACGGGGATGGTGCTGACAAACCTAGAAACATAATCGGGGCGAACCGGGATTCGAACCCACAATCATAGGTTTCTGGCGTGCCCAAGGGACGCAACTCTGCACAGCGAATCGCGGCGCCTTAGACGACGGGGCCACCCGTGCCCCCGCAATTAGAATATAGTTTAGCCAAATGTGTGGACACGAGCTAGATCATTAATAGTCTTTAAACCGCCTTTGTAACAGGCAACTCGTCTCATTGCTTATCGTGTCCCTCTCGCGGCCAATTTATCAACTTGGTTCGGTTTTATGATTCACGATTGATTTGTCGTGTTTTCGCACATAACACTCATCGATAAAAAGGCCGATCTTCTTGTCGGATACAGAAAGGGGCGAGTTGTGACGAATGCATTTAAAGGGAGACTTTGCACGGTGCAATTGGCAGCACAAGTCAGTTTGGTTAAGTTACTCAATACCCATCTTTTTTTGCCTGAGAACATAAATTGTATGACGCATATTGATTAACACTAACTGTGCGTAACGTCAAGACATGAAATATACCGTGAAGAGAGCCCTTCTTTAATGGTGTTATTTGTGGTATTTATTAAACTAATTGTGTTATTTGTGGTATTTATCAAACTAATAGTGTTATTTGCGGTATTTATCATATTAAAAATCAGCAAAACCCTACCTATCTCACTCGTGGGGAGTCAGGGTTAGAATAGGTTCCCAGCATCCTGTGTTTGTCGTACACCTCAAACAAACAAACAAACAAACAAACAAACAAACGACAACTCAGCCTCATAGCGAAGAGCATTTTATGGGCGCTTCGTATGATTCCAAACGGCGTATGTGAACGGCGCAAACAGAGGGTCGAGAAGGGATGGTGTCTATGTGAAAATGTGTTTTCGCGGAAAACCAGATACGGTTTTAGCACAAGGCGCTGATTTTAAAATAATGCCTAACGTCTAATATTTCTGCAAATGTTGATTTTCTAATTGCATTTTTACGTAACGATTTATAAAAACGGTATGCATGGGCTTGTGTCGTGTCAATGGTGGCTTGACGTATGCATGTGGCCGTGACTTTGCATGCAAATAAATAAAAAATGCTATCTGTCCATCTTTTTACCACAAAAGCAATATTATACATATGTATACGGACTTCTTCCCATATATAAATCCACATATAATTTACTTTAAAATAATGTTGTCTTGCCATTGCTTAACCTGTAACCCGTGAAGATTCCGGGGTAGAATAGGTCTTCAGCAACCCATGCTTGTCGTAAAAGGCGACTATGTTTTGTCGTAAAAGGCGACTAACGGGATCGGGTGGCCAGGCTCGCTGACTTGGTTGATACATGTCATCGTACACTTGCGTGGATCGATGTCAAATCACTGGATTATCTGGTCCAGACTCGATTATTTACAGACCACCGTCATATAGCTTGATTATTGCTGAGTGCGGAGTTAAACAACAAACAAAACAAACAAAATATAAAGCTTTTAAAACCTGTACTCTATCTATCTATAACTAGTTCCATGTCTTGAGCTCAGTGACAATTGCCAGCTTTATAATACATCAATTAAAAACCCTGTTTTTTTGCCGCCACTGAGTCCAAAACATGTAGGTTAATGTTCACAGAACGACTGTCATGGTAACTAGAAACGTGAATATCTGTTCAACCGGTAATCATTTCGTGAGGTCTCAATGTGGATCAGGTCAACACAAAAGCTGGTATCAATCTACCCATTTACCCCTTCATTAAACCGGGGCGGTGGGGTAGCCAAGTGGTTAAGCATTCGCCGAAGATTCAGGTTCGATTCCCAACATGGGTACAATGTGTGAAGCCCATTTCTGGTGTCCCCCGCCGTGATATTGTTGGAATATTGCTAAAAGCGGCGTTAAACCATACTCACTCATTCACTCACTTACTTCTTTAAGGGCGGTCGGGTAGCCTAGCGGTTAAAGCGTTCGCTCGTCACGCCGAAGACCCGGGATCGATTCCCGACATGGATACAATGTGTGAAGCCCATTTCTGGTGTCCCCCGGCGTAAAACCATACTCACTCACTTCTTTAAACCAGTTCGATGACGTCACGCTATTATACATGCAGTAGGTTATAAACCAGGCATTCACTGGCCATTCTGACGAAAACATAGGTCACCATGCACATCTGTAGAGAAATTATACCATACCGTGGCTTAAATCACAAAAATCACTTGAAACCTGTTGATTCCAGAAATAGAACCAACGAGCCCTTGGAGATCCTGGGAGAATTCATATATATATAAATATGACTTTCATTCATGAAACATCTATATGAAACACACACACACACACACACACACACACACACACACACACACACACACACACACACACACACACACACACACACACATATATATATATATTAAAACATTGCCAATATTTGTTACAAATAAAATGTAACAAACTGAAGGAATTAGCGTTAAAAAGAATCTTTATTTTCTAAAAGTTCTGGATAAGCATGCCCCCAAACCCCCAAACCCTCCCAGCAGGCCCTCGTACAATTGGTAATTGGTAATTGGTATGCTTACACTTAAAAGCCTAGTTGCGCCCCTGCAAACTGTTATGATTTAATACCTCACGAATGTATGGGTGATTTGAATCGCGTACATAAGCCGCACACAATACTTTCTGCGTTCTACAGTTTCGTAGTTCCGCGAGGCATCTGTGGAACTGACGGTGTACTGGCGGAAAGTATGGACACACACGCAAGTTGAACCCTACTCCGAGCGGGTAAATTCTGTAACAAAAGTAACTGAAACGGACATAAAATATTCACACGTCAACGACTTTCCTTGAAACAATACGAGTATCCAAATGTTTTCAGCTCCACACTGCCACGTTGGCACAATGGCATAGTCTATGGCTTGACACTAAGACGATATAGTGTTCGTATCCCAGACAGGACATCCAGACATTCTCTTGACTTTTAATTTTAATTTGATTTTAATTTGCGTATGTAAAAGTAAATAATGTTAAGATGGCAACATAAGAAAGTCTGTTCTATACTTGCCCCTATTAGTGACAAGAAGTGGGTCTGTCCATATCATGGGAGGTCGGGTAGCCTAGTGGTTAAAGCGTTCGCTCGTAATGCCGAAGACCCGGGTTCGATTCCCGACATGGGTACATTGTGTGAAGCCCGTGGTATTGCTGAAATATTGCTAAAAGCGGCGTAAAACCATACTCACTCACTCACTGCCCATATCTATGAGTGTAAAGCAAAAACTGATGTGCCAGTGTCATATTTTATGAAGTGTGTCATGCTTATTCAGGTGTAGATATATCCGTTCATGTTACTAGTAGGGGCACGAGTGGCCCAGTCGTCAAAGGCGCCGCGATTCGCTGTGCAGAGTTGAGTCCCTTGGTCACGCCAGAAACCTATGATTGTGGGTTCGAATCCCGGTTCGCCCCGATTATGTTTCTAGGTTTGTCCGCACCATACGCGTACTCGTGGGTTTCACCGAAGTGGTAAACGTCTGAGACCTGCATCACTTCGGGCTTTCCTCCCACATTAAGCTAACACGCCGTGATATAACTGGAATACTGTTAAAAGCGGCGTTAAACCCAACTCACTCACTCTTGCATTTACGATGTTGCTACAAACCAAATGTTCAGTGGGTGATGTCATCAAGGGATGCTTATGGTGAACGGGCACTACCTTTGCCTAGTACTGTACGAGGGATCTCTGCATCACTTCAGGCTTTCCTCCCACATTAAGCTGACACGCCGTGATATAACTGGAACACTGTTAAAAGTGGCGTTAAACCTAACTCACTCACTCCCGTTACTAGTGACGTACACCTTTACACTGAACTCATGGACAACGGTAAACAATCATTGAACATTGCAAGAGCCAAAATCTCAATCATTTGCATCAGTTGTTTGTGATAATAAATATCAGATTTAAATAGCATAGCAATGACAAAGAGGGAGGTTTCACGAAACCAGAGGTCTCAAACCAGAGAACAGTAAAGGGCAGTGATCAAAGATACAACAGAATGATTTTGTGTAGGCATGCCAGGATTCGCAGTCCAATGGTTCGAATCCCACATTCGGCCTGATTGTGATCTTAAGTCTTAGACACTGGGGTGTCTCCCAGGCCATCTAAGTTGTTTGATTCAGTTCACCAATAGCGCCTGATATTCAAGGTTTTGATGTATATCTAGAATGATCGGAAAATATTCGCATATAATATTACAAATGTACTTGTATGTATCTATCAGAATACACGCCGGCATGTCATGAATGCTTCAAAAATGGCCAGAAGAGGCACGTAACTGACCATTAGTAAATAATAGCTACATCTTGCAGATGGTGTTGTCAACTTAAAGCATGGTGTAGTTTCCATTTGCTTGTTTGTTTATTGTTTAACACCGCAATATTCAAGCTAAGTGACGTCGGTCTGTAAAAAGGTCAAGCCTGGACCAGACTATACAGTGATCGATATTGTTAGCACCGGTTCCTGCCGCTCGGGTACGATGGCACGCAATCAACCACGTCACCCTGACCTGACATCGTACTCCATTAAGTCTTCTCCTACGACCGGCATGTGTTCCAGGTGACCTACATTCTAACCCATAATCCCCACGAGCCAAGTTTCCTGACAGCTGATATATACATATACACACAAACAAGCATGTTTTTTCCTTGATCTTGGTAATTTCAGCACACACATGTTTGCGGATATGGTTCCGATAAACCATGGACCATAATCAAACCTCAGCGGATCCTGCAACGGGTGAGGAAGGTTGGTCTGTGCAACACAATGCTGCTCCTTGGACCAATGGGGCCCCAGCCCACAGAGCGATCGTACTGCAACGATTGCCATAAACTAATGTTAAAGTATGGGAGTTGCGATCACCTTAGCGCTGCCATCGCTTTGCAAAACGGGCGACAGGGCGAGGGGTTCCGCCGCTAGCGTGGCCCATCTGATAACCTACGTAAACCCGGATGTAAGGTAAATGACACCCTTCAAGCCAATATAAATTGTTCTTCGCATGATACAATTATCAAAATTATATCGAGATAACTATCTACTTTTTTTTTATCTCCGTGTTGTGCTTCTAACTGAAATTTGATGTCTGTAATCAATAAAGTCTATATTTTCAGGAATATTTTATTGATCGTTGGATAGAACAAGAATCACTGATCTCAATTCCCTGTGATAATACCAAAACAAGGCAAATTCTCCGTTAATGACATTCTGTCAAAGTTACGGTTCAGTGCGTGAGTGAGTTGGGTTTAACGCTGCTTTTAAAAGTATTACAGTTACATCGCGGCGTGTCAGCTTAATGTGGGAGGAAAGACAGAAGTGATGCAGGTCTCAGACGTTTACCACTTCGGTGAAACCCACGAGCACGGCTATGGTGCTGACAAACCTAGAAACATAATCGGGGCGAACCGGGATTCGAACCCACAACTAAGACACAGTATACTCAGAGCCGACCTGTCCTTGTTTTGGCACATCATCACGTCACAAGGATCTGATCTACAGTACACTTCACAAGGATCTGATCTACAGTACACGTCACAAGGATCTGATCTACAGTACACGTCACAAGGATCTGATCTGTAGTACACGTCACAAGGATCTGGTCTACAGTACACGTCACAAGGATCTGATCTGTAGCACACGTCACAAGGATCTGATCTATAGCACACGTCACAAGGATCTAATCTGTAGCACACGTCACAAGGATCTGATCTGTAGCACACGTCACAAGGATCTGATCTATAGCACACGTCACAAGGATCTGATCTGCAGTACACGTCACAAGGATCTGATCTGTAGCACACGTCACAAGGATCTGATCTACAGTAGACGTCACAAGGATCTGATCTACAGCACACGTCACAAGGATCCGACGTACAGTACACGTCACAGGGATCTAATCTACAGTACACTTCACAAGGATCTGGTCTTCAGTAGACGTCACAAGGATCCGACGTACAGTACACGTTACAAGGATCCGACGTAAAGTACACGTCACAAGGATCCGACGTACAGTACACGTTACAAGGATCCGACGTACAGTACACGTCACAAGGATCCGACGTACAGTACACGTCACAAGAATCCGACATACAGTACACGTCACAAGGATCCGACGTACAGTACACGTCACAGGGATCTGATCTACAGTACACTTCACAAGGATCTGGTCTACAGTACACGTCACAAGGATCCAACGTACAGTACCCGTTACAAGGATCCGACGTACAGTACACGTCACAAGGATCCGACGTACAGTACACGTTACAAGGATCCGACGTACAGTACACGTCACAAGGATCTGATCTACAGTGCACGTCACAGGGATCTGATCTACAGTACACGTCACAAGTATCTGATCAGCAGTACACGTTACAAGGATCCGACCCACAGTCCATGTTACAAGGATCCGACGTACAGCACACGTCACAAGGGTCTGATCTGTAGTACACGTCACAAGGATCTGATCTACAGTACACGTCACAGGGATCCGACGTACAGTACACGTTCCAAGGATCTGATCTGTAGTACACGTCACAAGGATCTGATCTACAGTACACGTCACAGGGATCCGACGTACAGTACACTTCACAAGGATCTCATCTACAGTACACGTCACAGGGATCTGATCTGTAGTACACATCACAAGATCCGATGTACAGTACACGTCACAAGGATCTGATCTACAGTAGATGTCACAAGGATACGATGTACAGTACACGTCACAAGGATCTCATCTACAGTACACGTCACAAGGATCTGATCTTTAGTACACGTCACAAGGATCTCATCTACAGTACACGTCACAAGGATCTGATCTGTAGTACACGTCACAAGATCCGATGTACAGTACACGTCACAAGGATCTGATCTACAGTAGATGTCACAAGGATACGATGTACAGTACACGTCACAAGGATCTCATCTACAGTACACGTCACAAGGATCTGATACCAAAGTACAGTCAACAAAGGCATCTGGAAAAATATAACAAAATAGTTGACTTAGACAAACCCAATACCTTTTATTCCAGAAACATTCAACATCCTTCCACAATCTGCGCATTCATATCAAACGGTTAACAGGTATTTTTGTAAATATTATGTTGCCATATATTTATGAAGCATAAACATTAATACACATTCATGGCATTGAGTCGTGAGGAATGCCCTTCTGGTTTGCGCATAAAATGGAATATGCTTAAGCTCACGGTTTTTTTCATTCATTAATTCAGGACTCGAAGCCGTTCCGTTTTAAACGATGGTTCCACTTTTGATTGTGCTGCTGATCACTGAGGGCCAATCAGATGCGTTGTTACAAGTTAACCATGACCTGTAATGAGGTAATGGTTGTCCTAAAGGGTTGAACCGCCAATTCTGATTGGGCAGCAGACTAATACGGAACACCTTCGACAATATCATACGTCAGAACACGAGAACCTATATTGCTGTTGATACAAGAAGATGACCTATGTTCAGCAGGACTGCTCTCACAGAGAGAAATCTACATTGTAGATATCAATGACAAGTAAAACGACGAAAAATACAACAAAGTGACAAGAAATATGATAAAAACGACTTCATGGAATATTATGAATCCGACAAAAAACATGTATTTACGGCGATTTGAGGTGCTGGGAGCTTGCCCATACAAGTGTAACAATATTGTGTAGCATAATTGTCCAATCAATACAGATGTATAAGGCCCTTCATTTCGCATCCTTACTTGTTCCTGAATCCGCTGATCGCGGGTTCGGATCTCATAATCTTCCTGATGATTGTCTGCCAGCCGCATAGTAGTGAGTTTTACCAAAAGTGATCAATATCTTCGATCTACGTTTGTAATAGGCAATGAATTAACACAAAAAAGTCCCGTTACTCCCTACCCAATATCTAGCTCTTTTACCGTAACACCGTTTTTCCGTTTGTACCCGAATGACACGAGTTTCAGAGCAATTATTGTACCCGTCTCCGTGGCGATAGTAACCGCAGTTACAGTTTACAATAGATCGTACCGGCAGACAGTTTTCATCCTGGTCATCGTGTCACAAACACGTCAACACGATAAAACAATTACTTCATAATTCAACAAGTAACCATGACTGCAGCATTTGCCTTGCCCACAACGAATATCCGTGAGAATACTAACATGAACTTGCTATGTGAAAGTAGAGGTATTTATTTATTAATAACAAAAGCGTAAAAGAAAACCAGATTCGATCTTCTTCTTACACACAAACACATCTCCAATACTATTGTCATTCATTCTAACAATCACATTGTCACAACATACAAACACAACATACAAATATACATGCTCATATATATATATATATATATAAAAGTATCCAAAACATATATTTGCGTAGCTTGCGCATCTTATGGGTCCACACGTGTATCTCGTTATGAACTTGTGGAGGACGTCAAGGGAAGTAACTCTTCCCAACAGGAGATAACTTTAGGGTTAACGCAAGTTCACAAAACCCACTTATACAGGAATATAAACTCCATCTTCCTTTAGGCCATTGGCTTGAATATTGCAGAAAGATTGGTCCAGTTTCCGCTTCATTTGAACCAGTGCGAGTTTTCCAGTTATCCTTTGATTCACTTTACGGGAATTCAATCATTTTATTCGTACCTAACACTGCACGCATAAGTCGATACGACTTAAAGCACTATATTTTCATGACAACTATGTCGTGAAGTTTCGTCTGATATGTGGCAGCCGTTCTCTACGTCACGGGTAACAAATACAAATATGGCGTCGATTGACGTGATGTACTAATTGAATATACATAAGGGTCACGTGACAATAAGGTGAAGGCATGAGGTGCTCTGTGCACATATTTCACACATATTTCACACATATCACAAGGGCAGCACAACGTATCATCTGTGAAGGCATAATGGTCCAGAGAAATATTCCATTCGCTGACAGCATTACAATGCTAAAAGGCAGGACATCAGATCAAGGCCACTGTGATGGAAGACACGATGTGCTCACATAAGATTACTTCATGTCGTTGTTGGTTTGTCTAAAATCTCCCCAATCTCGGTCTCCGACTTAACGTGGCGACCGAATTCGATGTCCCTCGCGCTCAAGCCGTCCCGCATATACTGATAGCGTTGCACACACGGGATGAAGAACAGCATGAGCCCACTGATAGCGATCATGGCGCCGTTCACATGAAATGATATGTCGTAACTTCCGGTCCAGTCGTACATCCAACCTAAAAAACGAGATTCAAAATATTAGATTATAAACACTCCATGTAGGGCACATACAAACGTCTACCTATATTTTCTGTCAGATAGAATTTGAAGATTTAAAAAAAGAAGAAAAAAAAGATTGTTGCAGTAATAATAAGCCAGTATAAAAACAATCATTGTCAAGTAAAAGGTATTGTATGCATAATTCTAAATGATTAATCAGAGCAATATTTTCGTACTGAACCATTACACGACAACGAATAAGGTTTCATCGCCAGGGAAAAGGGGCATAACTCTTACAGGCATACTGGTCAATGGACATATTTTATTGTCTATTGTTATAGTGTTGTGTGTGAGCTTAGTGTGTTTGTTTGTTGTTTAACGCCGCACTCAGCAATATTCCAGCTATATGACTGTGGTCTGTAAATAATCGAGTCTGGACCAGACAATCCAATGATTGACAACACGAGCATCGATCCACACAATTGGGATCGATGACATGCATCAACCAAATCAGCGAGTCTGACCACCCGATCCCGTTAGTCGCCTCTTACGATAAGCAAAGTCGCCTCTTACGACAAGCAGTATCGCCTTTTACGGCCTAATGTAGGAGAGAAGTTCCAAGTGATGAAGGTAGTATTACGTTTATGTTTGTTTGTTTGTTTGTTGCTTAACGCCGCACACAGCAATATTCCAGCTATATGCAGGCGGTCTGTACACAATCCAGCGATTGACATCGCAATAATCATAGTGGTCAGCTAGTGTCCTTTTGTGTCGTGCACGCTGTCAAATTAATCCCGTAATGAGATAGTCACATCGCCATCGGTCTTCAATTACTCTCTCCCAATCAAACAGAGAGCAAATGTCCTCCATCCTATCCATCAAACCTCTTGTCCACTTAACTCCTAAATGACCCGTTCAACTTACCTGCCATAGGAGGTCCGATGAACGTAGCCGCCCCTTGAAACAACAGCAGGAGACCGAAGGAGTTGGTCAAGTGGTCCAATCCCAAAAGGTCAACAAGGACGACAGAGGTCAAGGAAACGTAAACGCCTGTGGAAGAAATCATTATCAGTATGTTAAAAATAATCATATTTATAAATGGTAAAAATCAATGCATAACATTTCGTTTGTGCGAAAGATAGTGACGACCTCATATAGGCAAGTTCACGAAGCATTTAATTTTGAGTGAGTGAGTGAGTGAGTTGGGTTTAACGCCTCTTTTAACAGTATTCCAGTTATATCACGGCGTGTCAACTTAATGTGGAAGGAAAGCCCGAAGTGATGCAGGTCTCAGGCGTTTACTACTTCGGTGAAACCCACGAGCACGGGTATGGTGCTGACAAACCTAGAAACATAATTGGGTATAATCGGGATTCGAACCTGTAAAATATTCGGTTTTGTTTGATAAATTCTGATGGTAAACAGAAGTCGTTCATGTACTGTTATTAGTGGTTCGGAAAACGTTGTTACGTAAGGCACGTGCAATGCGTGCTCGGGCTTGGCTACCGATTGTCACTTGTCTTCTGATGAATAAACGAAGTGGGAAGTTAGCAGGTTGTCTCTTGGTTATTAACAGAACACTACACAACCCACAATCATAGGTTTCTGGCGTGCCCAAGGGAGGCAACCCTGCACAGCGAATCGCGGCGCCTTGGACGACCAGGCCACCCGTGCCCCAGTTGAGCCAGCGTGGTACCATATATGTTGAAAGATTTTAGTCATACAGGTAACTACGGTTATAACGAACACGCTTATAACGAACTAACGGATATAACGAACTAACTTTTTAGTCCCGACTATATGCTGTAGTTATGCTGTATATATGCTTATAACGAATTACGGTTATAACGAACTAAAATTAGTAGTCCCTTTGAGTTCGTTATAACCGTAGTTTACTGTAATTGATATTTATTTTGATGATATCCACTTATGGCATGATTGCCATGTACCAACGGATGGGATATACTTATATGTAAACGATTGTATGGTAGTGTATATTCTCCATGAAATTGAAGTATTGTGTTATCTGTTTGTAACTAGAATTCATATCTTCACATCACATATGTTTCCCTTTTTGCCATATAGAAATACGTTTGTATACCATCTGTCAGTCAAAATTCAGACCATTTCCACGAATCATTAAAAAAAGTAATGATTGTTTTTTTAACGCCGCACTCAGCAAAATTCCAGCTATATAACGACGGTCTGTGAATAATCGCGTCTGGACCAGACAATTCAGTGAATCGATCCACGCAATTGGGATGCGGTGACATGATTCAACCAAATCAGCGAGGCTGACCACCCGATCCCGTTAGTCGCCTCTTAGAAAAGACATAGTCGCCTTTTACGGCGGGATGCTGAAGACCTCTTCTACCCCGGATCTTCACGGGTCAATGAAATCCCGTTAAACCAGACACTACTGGCCCAACTAAGACGGGTTTCCGGTTTAACTGGGTATGTTCTAGTCTGAGGGGGATTCAGCAAGGTTAGGTCTTCAATGAACAGTGGTAGGGCCCCAAAATGGATAACATAACAACGAGGGCTCTAATCACGTCGACTGTTACATCTGATGGATGGTAATATTCGCAGAAAAATGAGACCAAATCTTTGGGAACGGGGAGTCTAGGGACCCTTGGAGCAGTTCCACGACTGTTAAGCTTCTTACTGTGCTAAAAATATCGTGATCGATGGACGGATATACCAGATTACACTGTACATCAAATATTGTCCAATTCTTCCACAATGAACCTTTGTCTTTAAGTCAATCGCGCTCAGACTGCCTTTGGCTTATGTGAGTTCTTAGTTCTCTCGAAGGTCCAGTCTATCATAGTCACTCATCTACCTCGGTCCGTGGCTCCCTCTGGAGATTGGTCTGCAATGCCTGGTACGTGTACCTCTTATCATCTTAACCCGTGTTTCTCATGCGATCCTGGCTCTACGTCAGTGTTTACTGTGATATCGACTACGCCAGTGTTTACTGTGTGATATAGACAACGTCAGTGTCTACCGTGTGATATAAACTCTACGTCAGTGTTAACGTGTGATATAGACACCACGTCAGTGTCTACCGTGTGATATAGACAACGTCAGTGTCTACCGTGAATTCGACTACGTCAGTGTTTACTGTGTGATATAGACAACGTCAGTGTCTACTGTGTGATATAGACAACGTCAGTGTCAGATATAGACAACGTCAGTGTCTGCCGTGATATCGACTACGTCAGTGTCTACCGTGTGATATAGACAACGTCAGTGTCTACCGTGATTTCGACTACGTCAGTGTTTACTGTGTGATATAGACGACGTCAGTGTCTACCGTGTGATAAAGACTACGTCAGTTTTTACCGTGTGATATAGACAACGTCTGTGTCTACCGTGTGATACAGACAACGTCAGTGTCTACTGTGTGATATAGACAACGTCAGTGTCAGATATAGACAACGTCAGTGTCTACCGTGATATCGACAACGTCAGTGTCTACTGTGTGATATAGACAACGTCAGTTTCAGATATAGACAACGTCAGTGTCTACCGTGTGATACAGCCAACGTCAGTGTCTACCGTGTGATACACACAACGTCAGTGTCAGTTATAGACAACGTCAGTGTCTTCCGTGTGATACAGACAACGTCAGTGTCTATCGTGTGATACAGACGTCAGTGTTTACTGTGTGATATAGACAACGTCAGTGTCTACCGTGTGATACAGACAACGTCAGTGTCTACCATGATTTCGACTACGTCAGTGTTTACTGTGTGATATAGACAACGTCTGTGTCAGATATAGACAACGTCAGTGTCTACCGTGAGATATAGACGTCAGTGTCTACCATGATTTCGACTACGTCAGTGTTTACTGTGTAATATAGACAACGTCAGTGTCAGATATAGACAACGTCGGTGTCTACCGTGTGATATAGACTACGTCAGTGTACCGTAATATAAACTCCACGTCAGTGTCTACGCGTGATATAGACTACGTCAGTGTTTACTGTGTGATATAGACAACGTCAGTGTCTGCCTCGTGTTATAGAATTGATCAGTTCGTTCTCTTATTTGATCCAAACCTGTCAATCCGAGTCTTCCACGTGATCACTCTTTGAAATGTGATACACTTTTGTTAAACATGACGACCAACAACCATTAACCAAACTAAAAGCAAGAAACTCACCAATGAAGACGCCGAAGCAAGCAGCATAGACAATCAGCAGCGGGTAGCTCCCTCCACAGAACGGACTCAACGCAGTAGCGACGCCGCAAATAGTCAGCGCGGTGTTGTAGAGCACAAGACGGTTAACGCCTTTCCGGTCCGACAGCCAGCCGAAGATGACCCTGCCGACAGTGTTGGCGATGCCGATAACAGACAGGAGGAAAGCAGCGTTGTGTGTCTCAACTCCAGCCTCTATGGCACGATCTGGGAGGTAGATGAACGGCATGTTGAATCCAATACTGGTGAAGAAATTTGAGATGGCGAACAGGAGAAACACAAGATTTTTCAGGAGGGAAAATGACAGCATTTCTTTCATGGCGTCGCGGAACTCAGGAGACGGCTTAAAGACACCGCAACATTTGCCGTCGTCGTCCACCGCTTCGGGAATGGAGGTGATGCTGGCGATGTAGATGTCATGATGGGAGCGATACATGGGGATGTTCTGCAAGCTTGCGCTGTAAAATATGTCCTTCCGGTATAGCAAACCGGAAGTTGCGCCTGCAGACGTCTGTCGGTGGTATCTATGGGGGTCAAGGTAATCGGGAGAACCGACAGGGGAAGCAGATTTCGCTCTTCCGTTTTGAACTCTGTGCAACGCGCCGTCGCTGCGAGCCAAATCGGCGATTTTCGGAGCTTCAATGGAGATTCCTTTGGTGTGGGCCAGCTCCCTGTTGCTGTTGAATATACGGTTCATTTCCATATCTCGTCCAGGAAGGTTCAACCTTTCGACATTTGGATTTGCCATGGGTGTTATGAGAGCCTCGCTTTCATCTTTGCCATTAACTTCTGTTTTACTTTCGTACTTCCGACTTTGTCTCTCTTCATTTTCTAAAATGTCTTTCGCCTCTTTTTCTAGTTTTTCCAGCAGTTCATCTGTCTTTTTGTTGTCTTTATTTTCAAGAGGCCTAAACAAGGCTCCACAAACAATGACATTTAAAATCAGTCCGGCTTGAATGAGAATCGTTCCTTTCCAGCCGAATTCGTCGATCAGCCATTTTGTAAAAGGTGCAAGAATAAACGTTCCGAATCCGGATCCACAAACCGCCAAACCGGTTGCAAAAGCTCTCTTCTTCTCAAAGTAGTTCGCCACGGAGACAATAGCTGGCAGATAGATGAGTCCAAAGCCAACTCCTGAAAAATTAATTAAAGTTACACATTTAGAGAAATTGAAAAATTCATAAAAAATGTAATTTTAATTTCAAATTATCTTTTTATGAAGAAATAGTCTATTGTCGCCTAAAAAAATTGTCCTGAAAATTAATTAAAGTTACACATTTTGAGAATTTGAAAACTTAATAAAAAATGTAATTTTAATTTCAAATCATGTTTTTTTTAGAAATAAACCTATTGTCGCCGGTGCTTTACTGCTGCTTTGAACAGTATTCCAGTTATATCACGGCGTTGTCAGCCTAGGAGGAAAGCCAAAAGTGATGCAGGTCTTTGAAATCCACATGCACGGTATGGGGCTTGCAAACCCATAAACATAATCGGGGCGAACTTGGATTCGAACCCACGATCATAGGAAACTCTGAACAGCGAATTGCTGCGCCTTAGACGACTGAGTGTGCCAAATTCATCTCATGTAATGAGAATACGTGGTCTTTGCAATCATAATAGATAAGACTTGGCTTAGTGTCTGATCATATTTAGGATTCATTGCAATACATGTCATAACGATGTAGGGGCACGGGTGGCCCAGTCGTCTAAGGCGCCGTGATTCGCTGTGCAGAGATGCGTCCCTTTGGCACGCCAGAATCCTATGATTGTGGGTTCGAATCCCGGTTTGCCCCGATTATGTTTCTAGGTTTGTCAGCACCATACCCCGTGCTCGTGGGTTTCACCGAAGTGGTAAACTTCGGGCTTTCCTCCCACATTAAGCTGACACACCGTGATATAACTGGAATAATGTTAAAAGCGGCGTTAAACCTAACTCACTCACTCACTCACTCACTCACTCAGGGTATTGCGGAGATTATGTCCTGGGCACTCGTCGGGTAATTTAGCGGCTATAATTCTGACGGAAAATGACGAAATACATCAGAATGCTTAGAGGTGAGGTGAAATTGGGTTTAACGTCGCGACGTGCATGCGCGCGTGTGTGTGGCTACTTGTACTAGTCCGGACTGATGTTGATTTATAGTGCTAGCTCACTGAGATACCATGCCGCAGTTTAACATGAATACCCCACTCAGATACAGTATACGGACTCCGAGCCGACCAGTCCTTGTTTTAGCCCCTTAATGCCGAGCGTCAGACAGGGTAATAACAAGTACCAGCTTTTAACGTCTTTTGGTATGACGCGGCCGGGGATCGAACTCCGGACCTTCCGCTCTCCGAGCGGACGCTCTACCACAAGACCACGGAGGCGGTCTCAGAATGCTTAGAAATGTGGACTGAAGGCAAAATGTCGAGTAATGGCCAAGGATAAATGAATTGGTCTTTCATTTCTATTTGTAAGAAGTCTATTTATTCAGTGTATTTACGTGCGATCTGATGTGTGAGTGTCTTGTCTCACGGCGTGATAGTTGGGTGTGAAAGGAAAGCGTGATCGTGTGCCACTTTGGTGAAATCAACGAGGTAAGACGCGAATGACTTGGCGAATCTAGGATTTCAGCTAACGAATCCTGAACAGAAAATATGTTATTCCTTTGGCCACTGGGTAAACTCCCTCCAGACACACGCACACACAGACACAGACACACACGCACACACACGCACACAGAGACACAGACACACAGACACACACACACGCACACACACACACACACAAACGCACGCACGCACGCAGGCAGGCACGCACGCACGCACACCGTTAACTTTTCTACTGAACACGTATTTGTTATTGGGGCAAGGTTGGGTTAGCGTTAAGACTGTAGTCGTTCTTACCTGACATGATGCCGAAGGTGAAGTAGAGGTAGTAGATGTTGGGAGCGAACAGAGACAAGATGAAGCCGATAGTCGCAATGATGGCGCCTGCGATGGTGACAGCACGGCATCCGTATCGGTTCGTCAGAGCACTAGCAATAGGACCTAAACAACAAATTATTATTTTTTATATACATTGATACAAAGAAATCAATTGCACTTTAGTTTTTATACCGATGGAATAAACTTAGGGAAGGTGTACAAATATTGCTGAATTACATTTTCAACCGTGTTAAAAAATGCATAATATCAACGACACACACCCGTTATTGCAAAAGGACCAACATTTGCGGAGACGGTGCCTTGGCATCTTTTGAAAAAAAAAAAAAAAAAAAAAAAAATTCAGATGAAGCTAAAAAGTATGCCCCGTGTTTTAAAATAACGCACAAAAAATGTCAGTTGTACATTCTGGAAATCCTGATAAAAATGTGATAAAAATAATTAGATTGTTCGTCCCTAAGAGGACATATGAGTGCATTACAGGCAAGCCACGTATCTATAACGCCAGGTTACAACGTGAAGAGATGCCGACCTATGCACGTACCACTTGTCCCCATTCTTGCGTCAGTAAGAGCAAAGACAACACAACTCGGCACGAGATTAGTATGTGAGGCTGTCATAATTAAAGGGCAATTTGCTATAAATTTTGAACAAAGGTTTCGGGCCGTTATTATCGTTGTTAAACGCCGCAATCAGCAATATTCAAGCTGTATGACGGCGGTCTGTAAATAACCGCGTCTGGACCAGACAATCCAGTGATTGACTTCAAGAGCATCGATCCACGCAATTGGGATACGATGACATGCATCAACCAAGTCAGCGGGCCTGACCATCCGATCCCGTTCGTCGGCTCTTACGACAAGCATAGTCGCCTGTTACTGCAAGCATGGGTTGCTGAAGACCTATTCTAACCCGGATTTCATGGGGCCGACCGTTCTTACCGGAGGTGATATATACGTTTGTCTGCCAAGTAGAACACCCAGGAGGCTTAAGGGCATTAGGATGAGGTTAAACGGGGTGAACGTCGTGTTCAAGGTTATAGTACTAATATAGCGTCGTGCATGCAAGTATGTGTGTGTGTGTGTGTGTGTGTGTATGTGTATGTGTGTATGTGTGTGTGTTGCAGGTTGTCTTAGCCCGGACGGTTTTATAGTGCTAGCCCACTGAGATACAATGCCGCAGTTTAAGCATAGTTTTTGAGAGACATATCTATCAGGCATTGTCAATTTCAACATTATAAAAATAGCTTTATGTAGATGTGCAATGTTGCATTTAGCATAGTTTTGAGAGACATATCTATCAGGCATTGTCAATTTCAACATTATAAAAATAGCTTTATGTAGATGTGCACTGTAGCATTTAGCATAGGTTTTGAAAGGCATACAATCAGCTGCAGTCATTGTTAATTTCAACATATTTAATAATTGCTTTTATATACACGTAATATATAAGCTTCGTCTTTGAGAGGCATGTTTATCAATCATTGTCAATTTCACCATATACGCTATCGACACGACCTAGACACGTGTACTTACCCACGGTGTAAGTGACAGCGGGGACGAGGGATCCAACCCAGGCCGTCTCCCCCTTCCCTCCTTTGAAATAATCCAGGAATTCCACAAAAAACACCCCGAACGAATACACAATCCCATCAGCGATGACGTGAATCAAGAACGATGAGAGCACCACCATCCACCCCCAGCCTCCGTCGGGAGGGACGGGGAGGGACGCTGCAGCTTCCGTATCCATCTTGGCGTTCCCCTGGATTTCCCCCGTATTTTCCTGGTGTCGACCTTTACCCATGAACCCTCCTGGTGAGTACCGTTACCGCACGTGCTTCCCACGAGTGACCACTGGATCACGTCATGTGCGTCGACTGGACGAATAGCAGCCTGGCACGAACGCTCTGGAATCGTAACAGGTGGCAATGTAATATCGGTGACAGGAATCTATTAGTTCGGAATTGTCACGTACATGCATGTACGCTCCTGTCAAGGTCACATGTAAATTATCAAGAGATTACCGTAGTAATAATATCGGAATTTTACTACCACGTTACGATTTACGGTTACAATATTCAAATGCAACGGTAAACATATGAACGTATTAAGCTGCCGCAGTTGATTAATTCGTCACAAAAAAACACATCCTTTATAGTCATCATTAAGTCACGTGACTGCATGCTCTTCGGTATTGGTCGTTTCGAAAAACAAATGAATTCGAACCCCAGGCATTTACTATGAAAACAATTCAGGATTAAGATGTCGGAAGTTTATTACTGCAGTTAGTAAGTTCAGGTGCGAGAGGCAATGACAATCTGTTCGTACCTGCAGGGAACAAGCTAAATAGACCCTTAATGCGTCAGGAACCGGTCGGATAATCTTGGATTAGATGCCCCCTACGATCCGATCGAATTAGCATCGGTTTTGCTTGTCCGTCAACCTTCTAAATGTACACAGCTGTGAACCTCGCGGGGGGTATAGACAAAGACTGCAATGATGAAAGATTGTTCAGGTGACAACGGGTGTTGGTGAGAGCGATGAGAGCACAGATATCAATGTCATACAAATGATATCAGCTCTGTGGGATATCAACCTCTGTGGGTGCGCTCAGACGGGTGGCGATTTAGCCTGCGCTGTCTTCATGTCGCTGATTCATGGGTTCTGAAAACAGGAATATCAAATAGTTAGATATGTACCTGGCAGATCCACTAAAACATTAAGGCAGCCAGCCATCTTTACTAATATATAATATTTGAAGGCCACAAGGATTAAATCTTCAGTTTCTTATTTTTATAGGGAGGCTAAGTTCGGTAAATGCGTGAGTACTGACATGTTTGATTTATTTTGATTCAATTTTCTGAGGGCGGGATAGACTAACATCTAGTCTCTGAAATGAACGTATCGTACAGAAAAAACCAGTTGTTCAGTTATCTTAATAAAAATATAATAAAAGGGAGCCCAGTGACTCTCTTCATTTTCATACTGCAGTAATCTAGACTTGCCAAACATTATAGACTTGCATGGGCTGTATTTGATATATATTTGTCTCAGGGTCTGTAAGACAGACTAAGGGCGGGACTTCGAGTTCTGTTAGTTTGTGGAGTTTGTTTTTCGTTTACTGCTTAAAACAAAGGTGCAGCCTAACACCTGTTTACCAAACATTTTTTACAAAACACCATCATAACCAGCGAACAATTAAAGTTTTTTTAAAAAACAACAAAAACACTGAGGCAACTTATTTTTGAGCGGTAACTTCTGAACAAATTCTCCCCCTAACCCCTCGCGAATATCAAATTGTCAATCGTTTATTATGTAAACTGTTGGGCAAATAAAGTATACACTTAAAAATTAGATTTGACCAACAAATTACAAACGTTATCAAACGCTACTTGGCTTAAAACAGTCCCCCAAACACTGCAAACCTTAGGTCCAAAACACAACAATGGTACCCCAATCACCATCGATTAACCATTTCTTGTTTGTTTCATTTTAGCCATCATCAAACATGGGTGTATACTCTTTTCGCCCCGCAGTTTACACCATTCTAGAATTAACGTTTACCCCGAGGAGCAGAGACCGCCTCCGTGGTCTAATGGTACAGCGTCCGCCCGGAGAGCGGAAGGTCCGGGGTTTGATCCCCAGCCGCGTCATACCAAAAGACGTTAAAAGATGGTACTTGTTGTTACCCTGTCTGGCGCTCGGCATTAAGGAACTAAAACAAGGACTGGTCGGCTCGGAGTCAGTTTACTATGTCTAAGTGGGGTATTCATGTTAAACTGCGGCATGGTATCTCAGTGTGCTAGCGCTATAAATCGGCATTAGTCCGGACTAGTACAAGCAGCCACACACACACATACATGTGCATGCACGTCGCTATAAAGGTGCAATAATCTTGGACGCGACGTTAAACCCCATTTCACCTCACCTCACCGAGGAGCAGACATTTTAATATACTCGAGGGTAGGTGGGCGGGGGGTAGGGGAGTATTGCTTGTTGGCCTTTATGTCCCTGTTTCAAGGCATATATATAATATTTTCTTCTCTGGGTGGAGGAGGTGAACAAAGTTTTCTTCACAAAGTATCTTTTTCGCCATTTTCCGGGACATTTGTACATAGAAAACGTCAGAGAGCAGAGTTCTTATCTCGATTATCAACCGAAATAGATAAAGGGTAAAATGGCGGTTAAAATTATATGAATGGATCACTGGAAATCAATTATGACACCAGGTGTTCGCAAAGGTACGCATGACCTGTCCTACTGGTAGAACCCGTCACTCAGTCAATTTGCATAAAACAGTATGTGTTTGAATGTCAAGGCCAAACCCCAGAATACCAATTGACCTTCAACTACCCCCACTCACAGTCTCAAGTTCAAGGACACTGATCACACCCCGGAACTTGTTGAGAAACCAGGCACAAGATGTGCCGTGTTAGACAAGGAGCGGTTATGTTTCTGTTTCTATTATTAATATGCTGACCACTTCAATCATTAACATAAGGTCTAACCACCAAATTGAACTTTGAACGCCCTCGATGAGTAACCAAGCATTGTGTGTACGAGGTCATTAAGGATGCTGTTACGAACAGAGACGCTGTAGCGTACATTATACATGATATGTTAGAGTGTGGCGATGAGTCAGGTTTCCTGCGCATAGGTCATCATCGCCTTTCCGTGCTGTAGTCGATTCACCCCAACACACTTAACAATAACTGACTTGTTTAGTCTCAAAGGCCAGGGACCCGTTCCACAAAGCGATCTTAGCGCTACGACTGTCGTAAGTCAGTGTTAAAGAATGGGAGTTACGACCGACTTAGCGCTACGATCGCTTTGTGGAACGGGGCCCAGGCCAGGAAATGTTTATTAATGTTTGTTTGTTTGTTTGTTATAACAAACAAACAAACATGTCCCCGGATGTCTTACATTTAGAAATAAGTAGGTCTAAAGCTGTCAGCTGATTTGGCCGAAGCCTTTGCCATTTGATTACTATGAAGATGCTCAGTCAGGGTAGCTGTAACATTGTCAATAGTGGAAGCCCAACTACCAACAAAAAACTGTTGCGTGGTTCTTGGGACTCTGGGATTCCTAACACGCACAACCTCAGACTTATCACCGTTAATAACAGTATCATTAGTTTCACACCAGTTCAATATTTGTAGCAATTTGTTCAAATCATTTTCGGATTCTGCACAAAAAATAATATCATCAGCATACGCTAAGGCGGAAATAACGGTACTAATTTTGGAATCTGTGTGTGTGTGTGTGTGTGTGTGTGTGTGTGTGTGTGTGTGTGTGAGTTGGATTTAACGCCGCTCTTAACGGTATTCCAGTTATATCACGGCGTGTCAGCTTAATGTTGGAGGAAAGCCCAAAGTGATGCATGTCTCAGACGTTTACCACTTCGGTGAAACCCACGAGCACGGGTATGGTGCTGACAAACCTAGAAACATAATCGGGGCGAACCGGGATTCGAACCCACAATCATGGGTTTCTTGCGTGCCGAAGGGACGCAGCTCTGCACAGCGAATCGCGGCGCCTTAGACCACAAGGCCACCTGGGCCACCAGTGCCCCTCTTGGAAACAGTCATAACATTCAGCATTTATGAGTGAGTGAGTGAGTATTGTTTTACGCCGCTTTTAGCAACATTCCAGCAATATCACGGCGGAGGACACCAGAAATGGGCTTCACACATTGTACCCATGTCGGGAATCGAACCCGGGTCTTCGGCGTAACGAGCGAACGCTTTAACTACCAGGCTACCCGACCGCCCCCCCATTTATACAGGAGATAAACATTATAGGAGACAAAAAACACCTTTGCTTCAAACCACGATTAATAGCAAGCCAGCATATAAACATATCACATACTCTCACACAACATTTAACATATATATTTCTGTCACAGACACTGGTCACAAGACAAGCCAACCTGTCCCCGAATGTCACGTGACATTGTTATGCGTCAACACGTGGCATTGTCCCTGCATTAATGACCTTTGTGTCATCACGTGACTTGTGATGCATGTGTCAGTCATTGTTGCGCCTTCTTGCTGTATACTTGATACGAGGGTAAGGTTTCCCAATTCATTACGAAACAATGAACAATAGTTATTGCCATTCTATTAATGGGTTGCTTTTTGTTTAACGCCGCACCCAGTAGTACTGTATTCCAGCCGCATGACGGTGGTCTTTAAATAATCAAGTCTAGACAAGAAAATCAAGTGATTGATATTATGAACATCGAGCTATGAAATTGGGATACGATGACATGCATCAACCGAGTCAGCGAGCCTGACCACCCGATCCCGTTAGACGCCTATTTACAAGCATGGGTTTCTGAAGACCTATTTTAACCTGGATCTTCACGGGTGGCAATTTTATGAGAACAGTTATGTTCAAATGAGTGATTAAGGTACAACATTACATTTCCACTGGACACAGTTAGTGGCAAATGACAAATGAGATGGTTAAAACTTGTCTTTACTAAATTTACTGTAATGTCAGTATGAGAGTGTATCGTTAATGTCATCTTCATCGTCATCATCATCATAGTCCCACCACCACCACCATCATCATCATCATCATCATCCCATCATCGTCGTCATCATCATCATAGTCCCACCACCACCACCATCATCACCATCACCATCATCAGTCCCATCATCATCATCATCATCCCATCATCATCATCATCATGGTCCCATCATCGCTGTCATCATTATCATCACCATCACAATCATCAGTCCCATCATCATCATCATCATCATCCCATCATCATCATCATAGTCCCATCATCGCTGTCATCATTATCATCACCATCACAATCATCAGTCCCATCATCGTCGTCGTCAGCATCATCATCATCATCATCATCATAATAGTCCCATCATCATCATCATCATCATCATAATAGTCCCATCATCATCATCATCATCATCATCGTCCCATCATTTCATTTATATTATGGCGGGCCTGCTTGATGTTGGAGGGAAGCCCGAAGTGATGCAGGTCTAAGTCGTTTACCTCTTTGGTGAAACCCACGAACACGGTATGGTGCTGACAAATCATGACCTATGACCAGGGTGTATCTGGGGTTCATAGGTTTCTGGTCGAAGCTATTATTAAAGAACAGTCTGCCGTTGTTGCCGTGCAAACAATGAGGGCAACATGTCAACACGCAGTTTTAATCACACAAACAAATATTTGAAAATTACATCGATAATGTATTGTACTTAAAATGTGTGCGTAGAGCCACAGTTTTCGTGTCAAGTATCATTACTCAACAGGTAATGGCGTCAGTACCACGTGACCAACCCCTCGAGATGCCCAAACAATGGATTATAAAACAAGTCTGCTCAAGCAAGCCAAGTATCAAAAGTCAAGGACATTTCCCGTTTTCTCGCTGGGAGGCATATGTGTATAGCATCTCCTCGGGAACCCTACCTAGCATAACACACATGCCAGCTCCTATGAATAACTGACAAGCTTCGATCCATAATACAAATTTGTATTTTCATTTCCGACGCGGCGATTGTTCTTCTCTAAAGATTATTCAAGCGCCGTAAGCAATAAACGATATTTACATTCTTGAAATACTCGTTTTCTGTCTAAGCAGTTATTCATGGTCTTGTTCTAGAATGCTGCTTTGAGGCAAGGTCCTCAAT